TCCGTTGCATGCATGCACACCATCCAGCTGTTCTCTTCTGGGTTCTGGTGCATGCAGACCAGCTGGCTGGCGTACATGCATGTGTCAGAACCCGGAACAGCAGCTGGCGACAGTGCGCGTGCCCACAGAGAGAGCTCTGTGTGCCACCTCTGGCACACGTGCCATAGGTTCGCCATCATGGGTATAGAATATATTATTATTATTATTATTATTATTATTATTATTATTATTATTATTATTATTATTATTTCAATTTATATGCCGCCTTTCTCCAGAGACTCAGGGCGGCTTACAATGCATTTAGAAACCCATTATAAAAACATTTAAAAATTAAAACATTAAAACCCATTCACACCATTCATGGCCAGATCTCACAAGATCACAACAGCGAGATCAATGGCCCCAGGCGTGCCGGAAAAGCCAGGTCTTCACCGCTTTTCAGAAGGCCAATAGGGTGGTCTGGACCTCAGGAGGTAACTGGTTCCAGAGAGCTGGGGCAGGCACAGAGAAGGTCCTCTTCTGCGGGCCCACCAGCCGGCATTGTTTAGCTGACGGGACCCGGAGGAGACCAACTCTGTGGGATCTTACTGGTCGCTGGGAGCTATGTGGTAGAAGGCGGTCTCCAAGATAACCTGGCCCTGAGCCATGTAGGGCTTTAAAGGTAATAGGTAGTAGGATAGGTCAGTAATTTAAAAATATTTTAAAAATCTTTTCGGAGGCCATATTTGAACTGGGAAATGGTCAAGGGATAATCTTGTTCATCTCTAATAAAATTTTGACTACTATCATAGTTGTAATTGGTGAGACATCTAGCTAACTTTGGATAATCATTTACAAAAAAAAAAAAAAAGCTAAGCAGGATCAGGACTGATTAATACTTGGACAGAACAGCATTGGAGATTCCAGATGGAGTAGTTAAAATGCTCCACTTGGCAAAGCATTATTGTATTGTTGCCAAGGCAAGTTACCAGAAGACAGGCTGGACTTTAGGGAGACTTTACCTCCCAGGATTTGGTAAATCACATTTGCAGAAATACAAGAAAAAAAGCAATGCAAGTCAATAAGAGGTGAGACATCATCCTGATTCACTGGTGGAAAAAAAAATGTAGATGAATACTGTCAGAGAAGAGAGTTAATGAGGAAGTATCAATATTACCATGTTTCCTCCAAAATAAGATCTTATATTCATTTTTGCTCCAAAAGACGCATTATGACCAGTGACGGGTTGCCCCCAGTTCGCACCGGTTCTATAGAACTGGTAGTAAAACCAGCGGGAGGCTCCGCCCACCGACCCCGACATCATCAAAATGCTTCTGCGCATGTGTACACGTGTGGCCCCGTTGCAAACTGGTAGTAAAGGTAATTAGAACCCACCCCTGATTATGACTTATTTCCGGTTAGGTCTTATTTTAGCAGATGCCTCTGTCTGCTAACGATCTTAACTGGGGCTTATTTTTGGGGTAGGGCTTATATTACGAGCATCCTGAAAAATCACGCTAGGCCTTATTTTCTGGTTGGGTCTTATTTTTGGGGAAACAGGGTATTACAAGAACTTTAATATGGAAAGCGTTTAAATATTTGCTCTCTAAATATGCGACCACTTAAAACTTTTTTGCACTTTAAATATGGAAAATATTTTAAAGAAGAGCAAATAAGATGATTAAAGACCTGGAGACAAAAACATATGAAGAACGGTTGCAGGAATTGGGTACGGCTGGTCTAGAGAAAAGAAGGACTAAAGGTGACATGATAGCAGTATTCCGGTATTTGAGGGCTGCCACAAAGAAAAAGGGGTTAACTTATTTTCCAAAGCACCAGAAGGCAAGACAAGAAATGATGGATGGAAACTAATGAAGGAGAGAAGCAACCTGGAATTAAGGAGAAACTTCCTAACAGTGAGGACAATTAACCCGTGGAATATCTTGCCTTCAGAAGTTGTGGGTGCTTCATCACTGGAGTTTTTTAAGAAGAGACTGGACAGCCATCTGTCTGAAATGGTATAGGTTTATAGGGTCTCCTGCTTCAACAGTGTTGGATTAGAAGGTCTCCAGAATCCCTTCCAGGTCTATTTGATTGATTGATTGGATTTTTTTTTTTTAATTTGATTTATATGCCACCCTTCTCCGGAGACTCAGGGCGTCTTAGAATGCGTTAAGCAGTAGCCTTCATACTTTTTATATTTATACAAAGTCAGCTTATTGCCCCCACAAACTGGGTCCTCATTTAACCTACCTTAGAAAGGATGGAAGGCTGAGTCAACCTTGAGCCTGGTAAGATTCGAACCTGCAGAAATTGCAGACAGCTGTGTTAATTACAGGGTGCATCAAACCACTGTACTACCAAGGCTCTAATGGATTTAATGTTGGAGCATTGAGTATGGGTACTGTAGATACCGAAAATTCTAATGTCAACTGCTCTAACTAAAGCTAGTAAACTCTTGAAAGTTGGTGTGTGGTTAACCTTGCCCTGTTTTGTTTCTTGTGAAAGTGTTTTTCCCTTATCTCAATACTGGTAAGAAGAATAATGTATTTCAACATTCATAAAGGGGATGCAAGAATGTTTGCGGTTACCTAATTAAGTAGATGAGATTGCCTAGAGCATCTCTCCCATTTACACACATACTTGTATTCACAGCAACAGAACTTTTGTTCTTATCACATTATTTCCTGCATACAACGTTGTAGTGATTTTACACAATAGTGTGCAGAGAAAAAAACATTTCCTGTGAATGATTTGCCTCCAGAAGTTGTGTGTTCTCCAACACTGGAGGTTTTTACCAGCTCTTGTTATTCTATTCTATTCGAATATCAACATTTCCTGCAGCACTGAAAGACTAAATCTTAATAGCCAGTTTTCGATCTCTAGCATTTTAAAAGATGGTCTGGGAACCAAAATCTTGTATGACTGTATGATCAAATTCATTCTAGGATTCGCCACTGATTTTAAAAACCTAGACATAGAGTCTGTGCCATTTTTAGAGTAAAAGAGAGAGGTTCATTTAGCTATCATCTATTTACAGTAGTGGCCAAAATTGTGGAAACTTTTTGGGAAAAGTGTATTTTTGAGGGCTTTTAATTTTTTTAAAATTTTGTCAAGTACATATTAGATAATATATATAAGTATAAGCATGAATTGAATACATAAAATGAATACAATTAAAGGGAACATTAGGACAGGGACGGTAGGCACACTGGTGCTCTTATGTGTGCCCCTTACAGACCTCTTAGGAATGGGGTGAGGTCAACAGTAGACAGTCTAAGGTTAAAATTTTGGGGGTTTTGGGATGAGACCATAGAGTCAGGTAGTGCATTCCAGGCATTAAGAATTTTGTTACTGAAATCATATTTTCTGCAATCGAGTTTGGAATGGTTTACCTTGAGTTTGTATCTATTATTTGCTCGTGTATTGTTGTGGCTGAAGCTGAAGGTAGGACATTGTAGCAGATGATTTTATGAGCTATGCTTAGGTCATACCGAAGGCGGCGTAGTTCTAAATTTTCTAAACCCAGAATTTCAAGTCTTGTGGTATAACGTATTTTGTTGCGAGCAGAGGAGTGGAGGACTCTTCTTCTGAAATATTTCTGGACGCGCTCAATTGTATTAATGTCCGATAGGCAGTGCGGGTTCCAGACAGATGAGCTGTATTTGAGAATTGGTCTAGCAAATTTTTTTGCTTTTTTTTGTGTGTTTTTTTTGTTTGATGGCTAATAACACCACTTTTTTTTTTTTTGGAGTAGTACCATAAAATTATATATCAATGGAAAGATAATTTAATCAAGAATGTAATGCTTTTCAACCTTTGTTTGAGAGATAAAAGTGGTTTTTTTCGTGGAATTCTAGATTTTAGGCCAAATTCTTGCAGTCTGCACCAAACAGTCCTTGCACTCAACTTCACATTGCATTGCGCCATTTCATTTTGTATACACCCAGATGATTTTCTTCTGTCACTTAGGCACAGTCTCTTAATTCTTCTATCATCACTTGCTGTTGTGTACCTTTTCCTGACTTTACCAGTGTGGTTTTGTAGTGACTGAGTCTCCTTATACCTCTTCAAAAACGTAGAAATGCCACTTTTGATTAAGTTTCCACCAATTTTTCTTCTAATTTCTTTATAACTGTAGCCTTGTTCACTTAATAATATTATTTTACATTGCTTTCTGGGTGACCAGTCAACTCTTTGCACCATTACTTTAATTTTATTATGTTTTACAAGCTCATTAAATGAAAGAACACAAAAAAACCCAACCAACTTGATAGCGATCATAATGTCCTCCTCTCAGCTTCAATACATGACATCAATAACCGAATCCTTACTGTGATCTGATTGGCTCATTGCCAAAACAAGTTGACACCTGATTGGCTCTCTAAACACTCATGCCCATTGGCTACAATCAGATGAAGGAAAGCTACCTTATATCACCCTAAGCAAGTTGTGCTTCCTTTTTCTGGTTATTTGGCTATAACTTTTCATAGAATACAGATAATTGAATAAAATTTGTTGCATTACATTCTTGATTAAATTATCTTTTCATGATATATAATTTTATGGTACAACTAAAAAACGTGGTGTTATTAGCCATCAAACCTCAAAAATACACTTTTCCCAAAAGGTTTCCACAATTTTGGTCACTACTGTAAAAGGGCAAGCAGGATATTTTCTGTCCCCTTTGACTGCAAATTCTTGAAGAAACTCTCTCTTCCTATCTTTTTCACTTTACAGTTTACTCCTATCCTATATGAAAGGAAAAAACAAGATTGTGTGAGGCGTTAATGGTGTCAGTTCTAGGTTAGTTGAGCTAATGATTAAACTCAGTAGAACGCAACTTCCTTCTAAATAAATATTGTCAAATCTTATTGATCTATGCCTAATTTTGTTACACAGGGTGGATAAATGCATTAACTTTCCTCCCTCCTCAATAATGCATTTTAATACAATGATAGAATTGCACTTTATTTGGATGGCTGTTTGATTTAACGTAATAAAATATTGTTTTATTTCAGATCAATAATTTTAAAAGTCTTTCAACAAATGAGGAGCGGCCATATTTTGAATCTTCAGATTCTGCTAGACTCTCATACAAGATGTCAAGTCGAATACCAATTATTGGCCTAGAGCAGGGGTGTCAAACTCGCGGCCTGTGTGGGACAGATGCGTCATGCGCTGGCCACGCCCACCCCTGGTTTAACGAAGGGGGGAAAGTTGCAATATGTCATGTGATGATGCTGTGTCATCACGAGTTTGACACCCCTGGTCTAGAGTAATTGAACTCTCCATACATATTAAAGGAAGATTTCAGAATGAAGTATTTGTGTAATTGGAAACTTGTGGAAAAATAGGTGCAGCGAGGAATCTTGATGATGAGTGGAACACTAAGTAACATATATAGCAGATTAGAATTCTAATATATAGTGGAAAGAAAAGGAAGGGGGAGTAGAGTAGAACAGAGTAGAGTAGAGTGAAGTGAAGAGTAGAGTGAAGAGAAGAGAAGAGTGAAGAGTAGAGTGAAGAGAAGAGTAGAGTGAAGAGAAGAGTGAAGAGAAGAATAGAGTGAAGAATGAAGAAAAGAGTAGAGTGAAGAGAAGAGTGAAGAGAAGAGTAGAGTGAAGAGAAGAGAGAAGAGAAGAGAAGAGAAGAGAAGAGAAGAGAAGAGAAGAGAAGAGAAGTTTCTCCCATTGTTCTGATACCATCCAAAAAAAGCTTCAAGTTGTATAAAATCTTCTAGGTCTTGTCACCCATTACCTTGCAGGGAAGTGAGATGACTGTAATTACCCCAGCTAATAGAATTGGCAGTGGAATTAGCAAAATTGTCCCTAGTATTACTTTTCCCAATCCAAGTACACATGGAGAACCTTTCAAATCAATATTGGGTGAAGTGCAGAGGTGGTATCCAGCCGGTTCAGACCGGTTCGCCTGAACCAGTAGCGGAAATCACTGGTGGGCCCGCCTACTGGCTCCTGCTCTTTGTTGTCCTATTAAGGGATGTTTTTGAGGCCGGGTGCATGCACAGAAAACATGCGTATGAGCAAAGCGCATGCACGAAAGGCTGGGTGCATGTGCGGAAGGCAGGCGCACACACGAATCGGGCAAGTGCATGCACGAAGTGATCATGCACACGGGGTGAACCGGCAGCAACAGTGCAACCCACGGCTGGTGAAGTGACCAGTGACCAGCTGAAAATCATCTCTGTCAGATGTAAATGCCTTATTCCCTAATGTGTAAATAATGTATATAGGGATATCAGGGGTTAACTTATTCTTTGTTTCCTAATGTATTCATAATTCACCACTCCTACTCTTGGCTCCACCCTTTGTATATATAAGGAGCCACCTTCGCCATTTTCCTCGCTTCTATCTGTGAATATTCAGTGAATATAGAATGCCTACTATAATTAAAGAGAAATATATTTGAATCTCTAACTCTAAATATTATTATTGAGTCTGATCTTAAAAATATTGCAACAAACTGGTAGCAGAGGATGGTTAATTGACTCAATAAATAACTAAAAAAATGTCTAAGAAAGACAGGCCCAACACCAGGGCCTACAGCAAAGAAATAGAAACTGAACAAGAAATAATCAACGAATTCACAAACGCGATTTCGAGAGAATCCGAAGAATACACCACTGAAGAAGAAGAACTAATAAATGAAAATGATGGCCAGGAAGAAATCGAAATAGAAAATAACGAACTCAGGTCAGAGATACTAAAGATTCTAAAAAGCCAGAAGAATGATGAAAGCCTCATCGCGAACCTCCAAGAAATGCTGAAGAACAGCGGAGCAGCGAGAGAGAAAAACATCGCTAAAGAGAAACCCAAAGACCAAAAAACTGTGAGTGATGTGACTACAGAGAAAGTCGTTATGAAAAAGAAAAGATGTGATCCCGCGCGAAATTTTGAATGGCAGCCATCTTGGTTTCAACAAGCCTCCAAAGTGAGCGAAGCAGAGCCAATCAAAATGCTCAGTTCAAAATTTCTGGCGCCAAAAACGTTATCAGACAACGAAAGTGAAAAGGAGGATTCAAACTCTTCGGAAGAGCCAGAATCAGAAAATGAGAACGACTTAACGAAATCCCAAGTAAAGTCAGCAATGAAGACGCTTTTTGCCGCATTCGGGCCAAAATTAAAAATTTCCAAAGCGCCAACGAAGAAGCAAGCGAACAAGCCGATGCTTCAAGACCTGCACGCTCCCATCCTGACTTCGAGAACGACGACGCCCGAGCCCAGAGAGCCATGTCGATTCCGCCCTACACCGCAGACCGAAGCAAGTGCCAACGCACCCAAAAGAAAGAAAAGAACAGCCGCCGCCATCAGAACTCCTAAGACCGAGCCAGAGACCGACTCGTCTGAAGAGGAACGAAGCGAGCGAGCTGCAATGGAGAGAACCTTCCACGACGACGTCAAAGAAGAAATGAACAACGCGCATGTGCGAAACTACGTAGACGGTCCGGAAAGACTTGAACTGGCCAGAGACCGCGCAGACTCGTTGCGAGCATTCCCATGCCGTTTTGCAATTTTCTACACTTGCGAGACCATGGACTGCCTCAGGTTGTAAGTAATGGACAAAATAATGTGGGTAACTTACCCAGTGACTTCCCAAAACTTAGAGTTGATGGCATTAATTTACAAGAATGGTATCAACAGCTCCAGGTTGTCTTTATGAAAGAAAATTTACTATTCTTTATCACTAGTCCCCCAAGAAGACCTTGGACTTTAAAAATAGATTGTTTACACCATAAGGCATTTTTCTTAATAATATCTAGCGTGTCTCCTGCAATGTATCATAGCATCAAACCAAACCTAACTGTTTCAGAAATAATTCAATGCATGTTTAATTTGTTTCACAGCGATAGTGTAGCTACCACCACAAGAATGTCTAAGGACTTCTTTTCTTCCAGAGTAAAACCAGGGGTTTCCATAAGTGAGCATTTAATATCTTTAAACAAAATAAGAGCTGAGCTGCATTTGAGGGGGGAAGTGATTTCAGATCAAACAATGAAAAGTGTTATTATCAACTCACTTGATTCATCATGGGATAGTTTTATGTCACACTTAGACACCATCAATCTAGGATATTTGTCAATAGAAAGTCTATCTAACAAATTGATAGCAGAAGACAATTCAAGAAAAAATCGTTATAGCAATCACACAGAACACAAACCTTTTAGGAAGGTAGCTTTCCAAGAAAAATATAATGAAACCTTTAAATGCCACAATTGTGGTTCCAGAGAACACAATAGAAGAGATTGCCCCAAAATCTCAAAAGAAAGACATAGGTCAGAATATAGGAATAAATACAATTATAGACAGTCTTCCACAGACAGACATAAATATAGAAGCCCACCAAATTACAGAGAAAATAGAGGGGGCAGAGAAAATTCAAAAGAGAGAAAATCTGGTTCACTGAATGGACTAAATAAACAAGATAGCACCAAAACGCAACCAAATGAGAACAATAATTGGCTTATTGATTCTGGAGCAACTAATCACACCACTAATAACAAAAATATATTGTCTTCATTTACAGAAGATAGGTTTGTAATAAAAGTAGCTAACCAAGAAAAAGTTCAAGTACTAGGCAGAGGGAATGTGACCTTGCCTGGTCTAGGAAAAATAGAGGGGGTATTGTTAATACCAGAAATACCTCATAACATACTAAGTGTCATAAAATTAAGCAGAGATTCTGACATCAATATAGTTTTCTCAAAGGGAAAAGCAACTTTAGAGAAGAATAAAACTAATGTAGGCACTGTGATGATTAAAGGAGGCCTACCCTATCTGATAACAAAAGAAAGATGGTTACATAACATTGATTCAAATATGGAAGATTGCATTGAGGCAGATGATGAAAATATTAGTAACAGTGACAATGATGAATGTAAAATATCTCATGATCACACAGATACACACAATGAGAAGAAACCAAAAATAGGTAAACCAATACATGACGAGTGTGCTCATATCTTACATAGGAAGTTAGGACATGCAAGTTTTCCTGTAGTACAAAAAATGATTGAACACGCAGAAGGTGTCAAAATAAAAAATTGTGAAAATTATTTGGAATGCTCAGTATGTAAATCTACTAAATTAAAAACTAGTCCCAGGCCAAAAAAATCCACCAGATCAACTAACAAAATTTTTGACTTAGTACACATGGACTTAGTTGGTCCATTAACTCCATCAATCACTTATAGAAAACGTTACTTCCTAACAATAGTAGACGATTATAGCCGCTATGGTTTTGTTTACACATTAAAACACAAGGATGAAACTTTTCAAAAATTTAAGGAATTTTATAAACGCATAGAAACACAACATAATATCAGAATAAAACAAATCATGACAGATAGGGGATGTGAATTCATGTCTAAGGAATTCTCCCAATGGCTAAAGGATAGAGGGATGTTACATTACACATCTAGTCCATTTTCTGCGTTCCAAAACGGGATTGCAGAGAGAAAGAATTCCACACTACAAACCATGATTAGATGCACATTAGAGGATGCTGGTTTAGGCAAACAATTTTGGTCAGAAGCCCTACATTATTCAAATTACACTCAAAATAGAACCTGGTCCAGTATTGTAAATAAGACACCATATGAGGTGATGTATAATAGGAAACCAAAATTAGCACACATGCACATATTTGGGGTCACTGCAGACGTACACATACCCAAACAATTGAGGAGAAAGGGAGAAAACGTATCCAGAAGATTAAGATTTATGGGATATGAAACTGGCACCAAAGGGTACAGATTCATTGATAATAATAATAAATTTATAGTTTCCAGAACAGCTGTGTTCCATGAACAGGCCAACTGGTCTAAATTACATCTTAATGAAATATTTCCGAACAAATGCAAGGATATCAAATCTAGTGAGGAAGGGACGATAAAAAATCAAAATATTAACAGGAGCAAAAACAAAACCAAAACATGGACAAATAGTAAACACAAAATAAAGACAGACACATTAACAAAAAAGGAAGCAAGATATTTGCATGACTACCATAGCAAACCAGAAAGAACTATTAGGAACAACAGAAATCAAATACCAAATAAATACAAAGATTACATAATGCATATGGATGGTGAACAAATAACACCTAATACATATGAGGAAGTATTAAAACTACCTCGTGAGGAAAAAGAAAAATGGGAACTAGCTATGAAAAAGGAGATGGAGAGCTTACAAGGATTAAATGTATTCACACCTGCGATTGCACCCAAAGATAAAACAATTATTGGTACCAGGTGGATTTATAAAATTAAGAATCTAGAAGGAGGCAATACCTTATACAAAGCTAGATTGGTTGCACAAGGTTATGCACAAAAATATCCGGAGGACTATACTGACACATACTCCCCCACAGTAAGAACAGAGAGTGTTAAAACAGCTCTAGTAGTAGCATCCACACTCAATCTTGATGTATTCCAATATGACATACAGACTGCGTACCTACACGCAAAACTAGATAAGG